TCACGACTGCCTGCTTGCAAGGCAGGCGCTTATGCCACAGAGCTTGCAAGGCAGGCACTTATGCCGCTGAGCTAAACCCCCAGCCCCAGGAAGGTTTTTTTTTTTTTGTCTTTTTATCGTCCTGACTCTTACTCTTTGGCAGTGGAACTTTCTGTACTTGCTCCATTGTAAAAGGCTTTCAGGAAGAAAATTTCATTTTTCTATTGACTAGAAATAAAATCAATAATTGTTAAAAAGCATTTTAAGCGTTTCTGAGTACCAGGTGCAGTTCAGTGGTAGAGTGCTTACCTGGCATACACAAGGCCCTGGGTTTGATCCCTAGCACCACAATAAAAATAAAATAATAAAGTAGCGGTTACTGTCTTGATATGTTTGATGCTATAGCATATGAAGTTATATTCAAATATTTCAAGGAAAAAGACACTATGGTAACTACTATTAAGTCAGGTTATTTGGTGGTGAAGCACTAGGTTACTGAAAGTGTCATGCTTTAACCTGTATTATGTTATGCCCCCTTTTATCTCAACCTCTCCCTTATTCATTAAAAAATTATTTAATTTTTTAAATTTCTTTTTTTAAACTAAGGAGGAAAAAAAAACTAGCAGGATATATTATAGTAACTTTTTTGATTTCCTATTAACTTGAAGTCCTGTAATACGCCCGTTATCTTGTTTTGACTTATTAGACTCTATTCTGCTCTGTATGAAAGTATCAAGTATCAGAGTATAGGCAACTACTTTGAAGGCAATAAGATTCACTATGATGCCCATTCTGGTTTGACTATTATCCTCTTTTGAGGTTCTGTAAGATTTTACAATGTTTAGGTTTTATTGGTCTTGTTCTCTACTGTTTTGTTCAACTTTATAATACCTAATGAGATAGACAATTCTTCTTAAGGAAGCAAGAGGCATTATGGTAACCATTGTTGATAACCTTGTACTCTGTTTTTACATCATGTGCTATATCTATCCTTGGTTTTGACTGACAGCTTTGTTTTATCATGCTTGATTTTATTCTCTTACAAAAAAAGGTGATAAGATCTAAGGGAGTAATAAACCCAAAATGTGTAAATTTTGTTGTAATAAAGAGAGGGAAAAAAGGTGCCCTAAAGGATACAACAGCAGGGGTGTTTAGATGTGTTAAATAGAAGACCATATTAATATTTTGGATTGGATTACTGAACACAACTATTTGCAGTCTCACTGTTTGAATGTTCACTTTGATCCTGTGACCTGAAACACCATTTCTAAGATGACGGCGTGTAATCTATTAACTGGTGATAGCTTACTGTTTTTTATTTTGTAGTTCTGAATTACTTGTACAGTTACAGTTTTGTTTTGTTCTGCTTTTTTTCTCTTTTTCCTTTTAAATTAAAAAAAAAGTAGCAGTTTACATTTGTGTAATTATGCAACTTTAGGAAAACTGTCACACCAAGAACTCTACCACCATCAGCAGCTGGCTAAGGTATGAGGTGTCCTCCCAGGCCACAGGGTCCACAGGTGCCAAGTCAGGCAACTGAGGGCTTAAGGAAGACCGCCACAGGTACTTCAGATAAACACTGAGCCTAGGCCAGGTCCTCCCCTTCCCTGGAAATCCTTGGCAGCACATGTGATGTCTATTTTGCAGCAGGATGCTGTTATTCAGGGCTTCCCAGCCCCCTGGAATCTTCTTACTCCTCCTCTCATCCAACAGAACCCTCTGAGAGTCCCACGTGCTCCTAGATTCAAAGCAAGACCCGGGCGACTGTGCCTTCGGCCCTGTCTCAGATTCTGTGCCCAATTCCTGCCTCCCTCAACAGCAGCCTACACTTTCCTTGCAGCCTCCTCTGCTCCTCTTAAGGGCAGCAATGACTCTGGCAGAGCAGGCCTGCAGGACAGTAGCTCAAGATGGCTCTGCTAGGGCACAGGGTCAAGGAGGGCTCCCTGGAAGAGGAGGTTAAAGTACTATAGATAGCTAAGTTATTTAGAAATATTATAAACGGAGAGACAATACTGGGCCTGGACAGGTCAGTGCAGAAGACAACTGTGGGTGGAGGTGCATTTGCTGAAGTTCAGGCCTCAGGAAAGAGGAATTACTCACCGAAACACCTGCCTTAGGATAGAGAAGCAGTGATTGATAAGTAGGCATCTGTCACCTTGGGGTGGAGGCCGAAACCTCCCTACTCCATCCCTTCCAGGAAAGTCACTGTGGATCCCTGGTGCGATTGCAACGTGACTTGCTTCCCCATTTGATCTCCATTTAATCAATATTACCCTAGTGACTATACTTATTGTAATCTTATTGGTTCACCACAGTCTGGTCCCGCCTCATACCCAATCCCTGGTTTCCCATTGGCTCAATATTACCTAGGCGACTATACTTGTCATTGCTTGATTATAGTTCTGTCCCACTTGAGCCATGCCTCACCTCCTGGTCCTGCTGTATAAAGCTCCCTTGGGAAGCAGGGTCCTTTGCCACCTCTTTGGCCCCTTTCTGTCTCTCTGAGACACAAATTTTTCTTTTACTCAATAAATCCTTCCTACTTTTAACCTCTGTTGTTTCTAGAATTCATTCTTGAATTTTAGAGAACACGAACTCAGTGTATTGGACTGGATCTCCAGCAGGTTGGCAGTTCTATCTCCCTTGTATTAGTTGGAGGTCCTACATCATATACCTTATATCAAAAGCCTGGAGGGTGAGATATTGCTCCTTTGGGGCTGGACACAGAGTCAGGGACGTGACCTCTCCTCTAACCTGTGCCTGATGTCACAGCCTACGATCTCTTATTAACCCTGGGAGACACCACCGGGGATTTGGGGGGGGGGTGGCTTTAAGGCTCAGAGTAAAGGCACCTACCCCACTCAGAGGGGCAGGAGGCCCATCAGCCAGGGTTTCCTCCCTTCAATCGCAGTGTACTGTCATTGGCGTGCGGGCATCTTTCCCATTGTGGCCCTCAGTTTCCCTCCCTGTATGTGGTTGAAGTGAACAGACCATAGCAGAGGTCCCAGAAAAAGGCAGACAGACAGCATGGACTGGGGCTCAGCTAGGCCACTGGTCCACCTCTTGGTCCTTTCCACTGCTTCTGAAGAAGGCTTTGGTGGCAAGGGGACGTTGAGGCACAAGGAGGTGTACAGTTTCCTGTAGAATGTGCCACAGGGCCTTGGGCCTGCCCTGCTCTCCTAACAAGCCAGAGGGCCCAGCGCCACGCACCCCAGCAGTCAGACAAGCAAACAAAGCTGCAGTTCTCAGGTGGACGCACTCTGCCCCTTGAGACCTCCTGTCGGGGATGGAACTGCACCTGTTGAAGTCCTAACCTTCAAGACCTTCTTTGAAGGTAGGGTCTTTTTCAGAGGTAATCAAGTTAGGATCAGGTCATGGGGCTGGGCCCTACTCTATCCAAAATCTGTTCAGCAGAAATGAGGCCCAGAGAAGTACACGTGCACACAGAGGAGAGAAAGCCTGTCGTGGACTGGGAAAGATGCTCCCCTGAAGCTTTGGAGAAATGCAGCCCTTCCTATACCCTGGTCTCTGACTTTTGGCCTCCTGAGGGGTGAAATTATAAGTTTTGTTCTCAGACACTCTATGGTCCTTTGTTGGGTTCCTAATGGTCAGGTGGAACTTCTGGAGACCTGAGCCAGATTGGGAGCTGGGGGTGTCCTCGAGCACTCCTGTAATCCCAGCTCTGGAGGCTGAGGCAGGAGGATCACTGAAAGCTTGAAGAAAGCATAGGTTACAAAGTTGAGTTCAAGGCCGGCCTGAACTACACTGTGAGACCCTGTCACAAAAAAAACAAACAAAAGCATGGTGGTGTAGGAAGTCGGAGCTCCATCTCCTTGAATTCAGTAATCCAGGAGCTGCCCCAGACCTCCCCTCCAGTAGTGCATGGGGGAGGGCAGTGAGTTAGGGGGGCTGCACAAGCCCAGTTGGTGGTCTCGAGGCCATGTGGCAGGGAATTCCGGGGTCCCAGAGTGTGGTCTGGGGTTGTTTGCAGATGATCCTGTGATCCTGTGCTTTCAGATGTGGCAGGGGAAACCGTGATGCTGGAGGGGAGGGTGCTCATGTGGCTCCGAGAGCAGAGGCCAGGCGGGACTTCTGCCTCACAGGGGCCCTGTTTCGTGGTCCATCAGAACCTCAGCCTCATCGGTCACCTGCTTGCTGTCCGCAGGCAGTGCTGCCGGCCTGGGCCCTCTCCCCCGGGTCCTTTGCCCGCAAACCACCCTGGGTTTCTCCGCTGTCTCTGGAGCTGGCAAGCACACTTCCAACCTCAGAGACCTGCACTCCCAGGCTAGGCTAATGGTCTCTGCTCTGGCCTCCCCTGCTTCACGCAGCTACTTGGGCTCAGAGGAAAGGCGGCCCACAATCTCTGGTCCCAGTGGGGCCGCCCTCGGGCTGCGGCAGGTGGACCTGGGAGGAAGAGGTCAGCTAGCAGGGGAGGCCCCCAGGGCGGCACCTGGCCTTGGAGTGTGAATCCTACTCTCAGCAGCCAGGACTGCAAGAGAGAGCCAAGATCCTGGGGAGCAGGGTCCACTGCGGTGGGGAGAGGAGGAGGTCAGAGGGACACAAGGAAAAAAAATAAACACCTGGAAGCACGTGGACAACCTACCGGGAGTGGAGGTGAGCACCGGGATCCTGCGGGTCCTCCAGAGGCCCGACCCCGCTCCGAAGGGTAGGCGGGGCCGTAGCACAGTCCGGCGCTCAGGGGGCGGGGACAGAGTGCGCCACGCCCCCGCAGGCCCCGCCCCGAGGAGTAGGCGGGACCGGAGCGAAGCCTCGCGCCCTGGGGGCGGGGACAGCCCGCCACGCCCCCGACGGGCCCCGCCCCGTCCCCGCGGTCGGGCTCTCAGCGGAGCGCGCAGGATGCGCGGGGCGGCTGCGACCCTCGGCCTCAGAACGAGGCTCCGGGGCGGGGCCGGGAGTACCACGCTCGCCCCGGGGAACCACACAGGTGAGGGCCGGGGTCGCAGGGCTCGTGGGGCTCTGCGCTCATTTCACAGACCAGGAAGTTAGGGACCAGGGGCTGGGGGAACTCCTTCTCCACCGCCCGCCAGTCCCGCGGGCGCCCCGTCGCACCTGTGCGGCGATGGTCTGCCTGTCGCGGTCACCCGTGGAAGTCGGGATTGGCATCCCCTGGCCAGATCCGCAGCTCCGGGCGCCAGAGGGCTGTGCTGTCTTCGGGCTTCCCTAGACCCACTTTACAGAAGGGGAAACTGAAGTCTGCGAGCGCGGAATGGCTGCCACGGTTGACCTGACGCTCAGAGGCACCGAGGTCTCCGGAAGGAGGGAAGCTGGCTTTTACTTTGAAGTGTGTGAGTTAAAGAATGTGCTAAAGGAGTTTCACCTTTGCTGCCTGGGTTCCGGGGTTCGAACTTTGGCGTTGCTCTGTGAATGCGCTAACGTCTGACTCTTGGAAATGCGCACCCCATCCCCAGCCCGAGCCCTGCATCTTCCGCGTCCTGGAAGCGACCTTAGGTGGCTGCTCCCTGGCAGGGTCCGACCTGAGGGTGACTCCCGCCGAGGCTGGGCTTAGCTCACCGCACTGGAGGAAGCTGAAGTCTGAGGTGGGGTTTGGTTCTTGCTCAGCACTGCTGAAGCTAAGAGTTCTCCCAGGCCCCGTGTGTTTACTTTGATACACGTATCCGCCTGGCCAGACATGCAGGATCCCTAACTTGGTGCCCGAATCAGGAGTGCTTTGCTCCTGGGTTTGAGGCCAGTCTGGATCTGATGTCTCTTGGTGACTCGCCCAAATGAGCTCTTTCCAGGGCACAGCGGCTTGAGGGAGGGCTTGTCTAGGGGCAGGAGTGGAGGGACCCACCGAAGTCAGCTTGGGGGAGGGGAGAGTGGTTGGAAACTCGGACACTTTGCATACAAAAGGGCGTTAGTAGGGGGCTCTTGGTAGTGGGTCTCTAGATTGTGCGGTGGGGATCCTGAGGGCTGCTTCCTCTCCCCAAAGTGGGTGACCTCTGGGTCTCAGTCCCCCTGAGCACTTCCCAGATGTGAGGTCGCTTGTTGGAGCTTGAGGTCCACGCACCCTTTCTAACCTAGAGTGATCTCCTTTCTAACCTAGGGTGATCACTCCAGCGGTGCCTCAGTTTTTCATGTGCTAAGTGGTGGGCAGTGTACAGCTGGTGACCGGCCAGGTGTAGTCTAGGGAGAGCCCTTGTCCGGCCAGGGTAGTCATCACCAGAAGACCATCCCCCGCGCTGGGCGTCCTCGGTCTCTCTGCTGTGAAATGGGCAGTGCCATGAAGAGGTGGGGCTTTGGGGGTCCTGCAGCCGCAGCTGGCCGTGACCCAGTGCAGCGACCTCCAGTGGTACCATTCTGGTGGTAGGACGGCTTGTTCCTGGCCCTGCTCCCAAGGCAGCCCCTGCACTCCCTAATCTGGGAAGTTGCCCAAGGACTTAGGGTTCCAGCAGCTGGGCCCGCCCTCTGGCCATGTCAGAAGGGACCTTGAAGGGTCCCCAAAGTGACGCAGCGGGGAGGCGTCTTCTGTTGGCTTCACCCCTGCAACCGCAGAGGAGGGCTGCACCTACTGAACAGAGGAAAAGCTGAGGCTCTGTGCAAGCAAGGGTGTAAGGTTTACCGTCCTGTGGATACTGGCTACGCCTCTCCTTAGGGTCCCAGCCTGGCCCGGGATAAAAGGCATAGCTCTCTGGAGCCCCAGTCCTTACCCACCCCAGGGATTTGGGGGAATACTTTTCCTCTGCTGCATTTACTTCAGCCTGGGAGGCCCAAGGGATCAAGGACTCTGAAGCCTGGGTCAGAGGACCTATTCCTCCCTGGAGAGATGGGCTCAGATAGGGACACTGACTGGCCTGAAGACACATAGCCAGGGCAGTGGGCCTCCCACACTCAACATTGGTGCCACATGTTGGGGCTTTGGGGGTCCCACTCTCACATCACCTGTGTGTGCCCGTCACCCCTTTGAACTCTCTGAGAAATCCCACCTGAGGATTCCCACTGTGCATTTGGAGAAACTGAGACCCCAGGTGAGATCACACGGGGACCCAACACTGGTAGCTGTCCAGTCCTGGTGGGGCTGGACCCAGTGGCCTGTCCAACTCCCTCACCGGCAGTCTCTGCCAGCGTCAAAGGGAACTTATTTAAAAGATCAGGATTCTGAGGCCATGTGGGCTGCAGGAAGGACAGAAGAGGCTGGACCCCAGTCCAAGGTTCCAGATAAAAGATTAACAAGCAAGTATGTTTCCCAGACACAGGCTAGCATCGTGAGCGGCTGGAGGAGCTGAAGGATGGGCCCTCCAGGTTGGGCCGTGTGCCCCTGTGTGCCCAGCAGTGGCAGACAGGCTGGGCAGAGGTGCCAGATGGGGATAGAGCCTCAGGCACTCATAGGCCCTGCTGTGACCCTCGGCCCTCACCACGCCCCGAGCTGGGCCTTGAGTTGCTCTTCAGTTTCTTGCATGCGTTTAATACAGTCACTTCATCTTCCCCGCTGTTTTTCCTCTCCTTGAAGCTTTATTTCTACATGGTAAAGAAAGGGGTCTTCAAGGCGCCCCAGTAAAAAATGCTCTGAATCTGCGCCCAGAAAGCAACACAGTTCAGAACACAGAGCCAGTTGGGATGGGGGCATACAAGGCCTGGTGTCCTTGGGAGAACCTCGGGCAGGGCAGAGAAGCCTCGGACCCCTCCAGCTTGGCTCTGCACCTCCTGGAGCCATGTGTTTTCACAGGCACCTGGGGTCCTTCAAAGGCATGGTGGCGGGGGGCACAGTTGGACACCTAATGCAGGGGAGGGACAAGTGAGATTTGACTCTGGGGCTGCAGGGGGTAAGTGAGGAGGCGGGGTGTTCCGGCTATGGTAGGGGGTCAGTGAGGGGTGGCTGTGGGTCTCCAGGCTTTGAGGGGAGTGAGCAGTGGCCAGGGGCCTTGGGCAGGTCTGTGAGCCCCAGCCTCCTTACACAGAATGTGGTCTCGGCCCAGGGATGGGTGCAGAGACACTCACAGGGTCTGAGCACCGTGGACTAGGAAGTTGGGGCCTGGGGATGGAGGTCTCTGGGTGCTGTGGACTGAAAGATGGGAGTGGGGAGGGAGCTCCAGGATTGATGCCCTGGATCCCAGTGCATCTTGTAATGCTTGGGACATAGCTGATTGTCGTGTGCCCCCCCCCCCTGCAGTGATCCTTTGTGCCAGCTTCGAGGTCTCTGTGTCAGCTTCTCCCCTCTTGGAAGTAGGTCACCCGTTCTGTAGATAGGGAACCCCGGGGGAGGTGAGGAAATGGGCCCCGATGGATGTGGCTGCTGCCAAGTGTTCAGGTCAGGGTCAGACCCTAAACTCCCCGGCCAGGAGGGGTTGGGCCTCAGGAGAATTCCCAGCCTGGGCTTTACATGGCCTTCGGCAAGCATTTAGCAGGTGGATTAAAGGAAGCTGAGCCTCCTGGCTTCTCCAGGCAGAAGGTGCCCTGACATACCCAACTGTGCAGGGCTGGTCAGGCCCTGGTCATGGCTCCTTTCTCCCCTTCCTGCTGTGGCTCCCCCCCACCCCCCAGCTCTTGTGTTTTATTTTGAAAGGAGGAACTATTCCAGCAGTCCTGTTAGGGGCTGCGCTTTCTTCTTTGTGAGCCCCTGGATGACTGGCTAGAGAGGCAGGGTCCAGATGGGGACTGAGTGTAACCCCCTCCACCTTCCTGAGTCTCTCAGACTCATCCCCCCCACCCTGGTCCTCCCAACCTTAGGTGCAAGCGCCTTCTCTGCAGCCTGCCCACGCTGGTGTAGGGCTGGTATGGACTTCACTGGGCTTGTGCTCCAAGATGCTTTATGCTTCCTTCCTTCCTTTCTTCTTTCTTTTCTTTTCTTTTCCTTTCTTTCTTTCTTTCTTTCTTTCTTTCTTTCTTTCTTCCTTCCTTCCTTCCTTCCTTCCTTCCTTCCTTCCTTCCTCTCCCTTCCTTCCTTCCTTCTTCTTCTTCTTTTCTCTCTCTCTCTCTCTCTCTCTCTCTCTCTCTCTCTCTCTCTCTCCCTCACTCTCTCTTTCTCTCTCTCTTTCTTTCTGGCAGAGTCTTGATATACAGTTCACCCAGGTCCTGAACTTCACTTTGTAGCCTAGGCTGGCTTTGAGCTCACAGCAAGTTTCCTGCCTCAGCCTCAGATTCCAGGTGTGCACCCCCACACATGGCTATTTAACTCTTTAGCCTGGAGATACATCCTGGGTTTCTTACAGACCAGAGTGATGGCTCTCACAGGTCCATCTTGCTGGTGGCTGCTGATTTCACCCTTCATCCCCAATATTAGCGAGACTGGGTGACAGGCAGGAAGTCTGTGCTTTAAGATACATGGCCTGGCGGTTGTGGGATACAAGCGTCCTGCAGTGCATCTCAGCCTGCATTTGCTTCTAAGGAGGAGCGCCACTCCGTTACACACACACACACACACACACACACACACACACAAACACACACACGCAGTGGAACCTACAGGATGTGGCTGTTGACACTGCAAGCTGTTCGGGACATCTCTGTGCCCCACCCTCTCTCACCCTGGGTCCATGCCGCTCGGAGATGTGCTTAGGGGAAGTCAGTGACTGTGGTTTCCTTGACGGGGCCGCAGTCATCCCGTTTTCCTCCCCCCTGCCTGGGGTGGCAGTCACAGGTGGGCATGCAGACCCATGCCAGGAAGTGAGTGATCAGGGATTTGCTGGTGAGGCCCTGAGACACAGGGCCTTCCTGTCTTAGGGACACAGGTTTGGGTCCAGGTTAGACACCCACCCCCACTCACCAGGGGCCTCCTGGTCAGGAAGGGGCGTTCCAAGGGCTAGTTCCATGGCAGCCAGACTGCTTGGAAATTCCCCCAGCCTTGTTATTTGTTTGAGGCACCCTGTAGAGGAAAAGGGTTTCATAATTACACCCCCAGTTCCCTTTACCCTAAGGTTCACCCAGCGCTGGCAGGATCCCATGCCTGTCTGTCCCTAGGTCCACCCAGCACTCGGGCATACTAGGCAGAGGCTGTGCCACAGACCTGTACCCCTCACCCCAGGCATCTCGTCTGGTGATGATGATCCAGTTAGCTTTTAAAGGATGAATCCAAGTCTGGGCACACAGCTGCAAGGGCTGTCACTGCAACCTCTGGTCCCTGGAGGGCTGGGAAAGGTGGACCCCTCTCCACAGCTCAGCCCAGAATGCACAAGTTGCAACTGTAAATCCAGGCCTAGAAGTGTGGCTGCCTGTTGTGCTGGGGAAGGGCCACAGTCTGGCCCATGGCGCCTCTCTGGCCAGAAGCACAGAATGTATGAAGGTATAAGACCCTGAAAAAGTGAAGGAGCTTTGTGTGTGTGTGTGTGGGGGGGGTATGCTGGTCATGACT